TTTTTTTTTATTTTTCAACATAATCTCCTTTAAGCTCTATACACTTTTCCAAGCGTTTCTCCAACTTTTTTAAGCCATCTAAAAAGTAAGATTTCAGAAGGTCCTCAAAATAGGCATTTGTTTGGGCAATGACCATCTCATTTGACGTGAATCGTTGTCCACCAAGCCATTTTTTTAAATTTGGAAATAAAAAAAAGTCACTGGGGGCCAAATCTGGTGAATACGGTGGATGTGGTAATAATTCAAACTTTAATTCCGTGATTTTGGCCATTGAAACTGCACAGGTATGCACCTGTGCATTGTCTTGATGGAAGAGGATCTTTTTCTTTTTCAAATGAGGACGTTTTTCTTTGATTTCTTCGCTTAACCGGTGCAATAATGATGCATAATACTCTCCAGTTATTGTTTTTCCTTTTTCCAAGTAATCGGTGTAGATGATTCCGCGTGTATCCCAAAAAACCGTGGCCATCACCTTCCCGGCCGATTTCACTGTCTTCGCCTTCTTTGGAGCCCTTTCGCCTTCAAAAACCCACTGTTTTGACTGTTCTTTGGTCTCTGGAGTATAATAGTGTATCCATGTTTCGTCCACAGTTATGTATCGACGCAGAAACTCGTCAGGATTGCGACGAAAAAGTGCCAAAATTGCCTCAGAGTCGACCACACGATTACGTTTATTCTCCACTGAGAGCAAACGCGGCACCCATCTTGCCGAGATTTTTTTCACACCCAATTTTTCGTGCAAAATTGAAAACACTGTACCTTGTGATATGCCTGTGGCCTCAACTATTTCACGCACTTTGATTCGTCGATCACTCAAAACCATATCGTGGATTTTGTCAATCATTTCGGGAGTAGTCACTTCCACTGGACGTCCCGAACGATGTTCATCTTTTGTGGATGTACGACCACGTTTGAACTCATTTACCCAATTGTAAACAGTTGCAAACACAGGAGCAGATGTGCCATGAACTTCATCCAACTCAGCTTTGATCTCTTTTGGTGTTAAGCCTTTTAAATATAAGTGTTTAATCACCGCTCGAAACTCACTTTTTTCCATTTTTCTAAATAAACAAAAGTTTCTTGCTTCAATTGACAATAAAAATTAAACCATATGATGGATATGACTGAGATTTTCACAACTGTCTAGTGAGACATCATGCTTACAAAAAACGCGCCATTTTTGAGGCTACGAGCGCCATCTATTGGATTTTCTAAGGACTTATTGAACGACCCACGTATTATAAAGCCAAGTATTTGTAAATCAACCACTCAACAAATTAGCAAATACTGTTTAGCAGTTGCCCACTTTAGATCAGATGCTGCCTGTGGGTCACTCTTTTCTTCATTTTTCCTCAAATTTTACTGGTATGGATTGCCCTACTGAAAGCTTATGTACCCATTGTCATTGCTCTATGGTTCATTGGAACTGTAGAGTTCTCTCACCTTGAGAAAGTTTGTAACTAGCAGGAGAGTTGTTGTTTTTGATTTTTAATACAGTTCAAATAGTTCATTCTCAAATATTCAGTTTCTAACATTTCCCTTATTTTATACTTACATGTACTGTACATAAATTATTAATTAATGAAAATTAAACAAAAGAATGAGGGAAAAATGAAATGTCTGAGAGGATGCCTTCTAAATTATATAGGGTTTAACCACAATTTCAAAAGTGCGGGTTATATAATGTTTTTATTTTTACTGAAATAACCAATTAATTTAATTATTTATTACTGACATAAAGACATTTATTAGATCTGATTAATTTTGTTTTAGTTGCAGTTTTACCATCATGCTGTCTCCCCATTTTTATGTGGTATGCCAGTCATTCCGCAAAAATACAGTATTGCTGTATTTTGTTTAAGGTGCTGTTTGTTTGTGTACTTGTTTTTAACAGTTTCCTGACTAAGACATGTGCTTAGTACAACATCTTTCTGTACTGTGATGTGTTGTTGTGAAACACTATTTCTAGACTTTTACAAAATGTATATGGTATGACATCTGTGAAAGAAAGTTTTAGGCATGATAAGTACTTTATCCATTCTCCACAGGCAGTTTATTTCATAAGCAAGATAAAATCTAATACAAACTCCTTTAGACTGTAGCATATATTTTAAACAAGAGAGTCTACCTAACCTAGAATGCAGACTTTGTTAACTGAGGTAATGGATCTGGTATTAAGCTGAGAATGTGTAACACCATTTCTTCTTTTTACAGAAGTGGACATGCTTATACGAGGGTCGTTCAATAAGTCCTTAGAAAAAGATAGAAAAACAAATTATTTTAGGTAGATTTTTTTTTATTTTTCAACATAATCTCCTTTAAGCTCTATACACTTTTCCAAGNAAAAATTACACTTGAAGTATTAAATAAAAATTTATTAATCTATAAAAACGAGTAATTAAATTTAAACAAATTGATACATTACTATTATGCTTAAATTAGCAATGTTATAAATAATTATTTTCATGATAAAAAACATTAATGTACTGAATATTTCAACAAATCAAATAGATATTTTGGATATATTATGTATTAACAAATTATATATATATTATATTATAACTAATGCAATAATAATTTTTATATTTGTTATAAGTACAAAAAAAAATTCTAACCCTCTGGGTGATCAGCATAATCTGGCCGTTCTATGTAATCAGGAACATTTCTCTTTGGAGTCTGCAAAGATAAATTAATTTTTAAATTAGGTTAAATAAACAAAAATAATTTAACTAAAATTTGAACATCTTAAATTACATGTATTTTACATTCACCAAATTTAATGATATTCATAATTTAAAAAACTTCAAAAAATAACTTAAATACTAATTCTTACTTTTTTTTTGATATATCATCATCAACATTTACATAGTATCTAATATATATTTTCTGAGTGCAGATTTTAATTGTTGAACTTGGAAAATCCAACTTAACAGTCTGATAATGAATTCTTAAAAATAATACATTTAAAAACCTCTATATTCATAATATTCCATATTCGTCACATTTTGATGACCCCCATATTCGTCAGTATTTGTTGTCATTCCCAACACTGGTAGTGGCATTACAATCACACACCTGTGCCAATCAGCTGACCATGTTAGCTTAGTGCTACCAATTTAGCAAATTTTTATGAACAATCTAGCTATGCAATTACCTAAATTATAGTGGCCTAGCTATTTTTATAATGCTACCTAGATAATAAAAAATTCAAATAATTTTAATGGAAATACACTGCTGGCCAAGTATAATGCAACACCAATAAGCTGCAAATAAGCTGCAAATAAGCTGCAATACTCTAGATATTGCAGGTGTTGCATTTTGCTTGGCCAGTAGTATAATATGATTTTAATATTTTTATTAAAATGTCTAGCTATAAATTTGAATTTTGAGTTGGCAACACTATGTCAGCTAGTTGTAATTAATCAGTCTGCTTTGTGCGGTCGTGGTGTGTGTTCTTGGTTCCTCGCATTGATTATTTTCAAAATCTCAAATCCTAATGGCTCCAACAATGCACATTGAAGAAAAGCAGCAAAAAAAAAAAAAAGGAAAGCTGTTAGAACAACAATTGAGATTAAAAAAAAATTATTTCTAAGTCTGAAAATGGACAAAGTAGAGAGGTTGCGGTTGAAGTTTTCATCTCTAAAACATGAATGCCAAACGTTGAGCACCACCATCTTGTAAGCTTAGAAGTTTGACATTTTAGAACGTCATTAGAATAATGTTCGACGTCCCAAATGCCATCATCAAACTTCTAGGCTTACAAGATGGCAGTGCTCAATGTTTGACTTTCACATTTTAGTGATGAAAACTTTGGCTGCAATCTCTCTAGTGTTTCCAACTTAGCCAAATTCTTAGCCAAAGAATTTAACATGTCAAGATCATAATTAAAATTACCTATGTTTTAATTTATGGTATGTCTTCTTCTTAACAATAATAACCATACTCTTCTTCACCTTCTACCACTATACTGTATTTATTTAGTACAATGAAGATAAAGTTTTATAAACAACAAAATTTTTATTCTTGTATCTTTTTTTAGGATGGGAACAGATTAATTGAATATCAGTTATTTATTATGAGAAAAATTGTTTCTATATTCATCATTTCCATATTCATTAATCTTTAGGAACAGATTAATGATGAATATAGAGGTTCCACTGTATATGCATAAATGAAAACATAACACCAAAAAATTATCAGAAATTGCTAGGTTAAGTAATGAAGAATTTTGGTTCTTTCATATCATATGTTTATTTTTCTATAATATTCTCAATATTTAAAAATTCTCTATAATGCTCTATCATTTACCACACAAAACATTTAATTATCCATTTGATATTTCATTTATTTAATTTTAATAAATTATGATTTTACACTATCCAGTGTCCCGGTCCTCTATTTCAGTTTTGTTTGTGTAATTATCATCATAAATTATTCACTATCTTTTATCATATACCTACAATTATATAAATGTATTCACTTCTATTAAAAAAATTACATCGGTCCACAAGCCAGAAGATGAACACAATACTTGCTATTCAGTAAGCATGGATTAGATTCCCAAGATTAGCAATGAAATCCATCACTTAGCAATTCAACTTCAAATTCAATCTTACTTATTCAATTCCAATGTAAATTTTCTATGATATTCTAATAAATTACCAAATGATCGCCTAAATATCGGGCTATAATTAAATATAGCCCGATATTTAGGCGAGCGTTTGGTAATTTATTATATACTATTCGGGCTTTGAGTTGTTATTTATCTATGATATTCTTTGGTTTGAATTAAGATGGTTTGAGTTATATGTAGCTTTTGCTTTTACACAATAAAATAAGAGATATTTAAAATGCAATTTATATAGCATTTTTGTAAAAGTTTACCATAATACCTTACCTGCTTCCAATCTAAAATTTCATAACAGCCTAAAGCCTGTTTCAGAATCACCTTTTGCTGAAAGAAAAGCAAGCAGACATACTTTCTGTATCACAATCACGATGCTTCCATTTCTGCCATTTTTCACAATCAGTAAATATTCAGTGATTCTCTTATATATCTGTTTAAATTAAGGTGGATTTTTGACTTTGAATTTAGTTTGAAATTTCAACATTCTATCCAACCAAAAGACGCTTGAATTGTAAAGTATTCTAGTAGTAGAGTTTCTACAAATATATGCTTTTGCTGAAAAATTAAATAAAAATGTTTATACTTGAAACTTCTTCCCAAATAATAAAATTATTTATAGTTTTATAACTGTATAAAATTCACTTTCAGTATTCTTATTTTTCAAATCCACTGTCAATAATACACAAAATAATACTGATTATGCATACATATCATTCAAATAAATTCAGGCAATTAATATGCATTCTGTAAATATAATTCAACTTGATCTCTACCAACATACATCATTTGTCAATTAATATATTTCATTAATGAGATTCTGGTAACTGAACCAATTAAAAATCAAAATCTACTCATTTAATAATGAAAACCAAGAGAAACAACAGAATTGTTCATAATCTATATATGTAATGTACAGTTGACTTGGATGTTGTATTTAAAAATCACACTACTGCTATTTCAAAGTGATTGTGAGACAGGCTTAAACATACTTAAAGCATACCATAAAAAACAAAAATATAATTACAGACTTTATACTTTTAAAATATGTACTATGAAATGCAATTATAATAATGATAAATTTGCTTAATTGTAAAACATGATCTCTCATTTCTTTCAAACATTCAACAGATGAAACAGTATTTTTATAAAAAAAACGTAGCCCTACTTAATTGTAGTCATTGTATCCATCTAAATGTAATTTTTAAAAGTGTTTCATAATAATTGTGAGACAGAATGTGCTCTAAGTATTATCATCTCTTTTCAGTTTTCAGACTAACAGCAGCAGCAACTATAAAGGGTTTTCTGATAGGTGCGCTCAAACTTTGACAATGTATAGCGGCCATGTTAGTGAAGCTACCATTAAACTTTACTATCAAAATGAATGCTCAATTCGAGCTACATTCTGTGCGCTAAGTGATTTTTACAGTGTACACAATCGTCCTGTTGAGGCAACTATTTATAGTTTGGTGGACAAATTCGAATAAACTGGTTCAGTAAACAATCAAACAACATCTGTACGTTGTCGAAACATGAGGTCTGCAGAAAACATTGCTGCAGTGAACAAGAGTGTGCAGGATAACCCGCGGCAGTCAATTCCTTGTTGTGCCCAAGAACTTGGCCTCAACTTGGCAAATTTTGTGTCGAGACTTGGGCTGCACCCATACAAAATTCAACTGGCCCAGGAAGTGAAGGTAAATGACCATAAGCAGCGTCGAGCATTCACTAACTGGGCTCTGGAGCAGTTCGAAGTGGACCCCAATTTTGGATGGTAAATCATCTTCAGTGACAAGGCCCATTTTTAGATGAATGAATATGTCAACAAGCAAAATTGTCACATTTAGGAAGATAACAATCCACATGAGACCCACCAGTTGCAAATGCATCCAGAAAAAGTCACTGTTTGGTGTGAATTTTGGTCCAGCAGGGTCACTGGCTCATACTTCTTCCAAAATGAAGCTGGCACTGCCATAACCGTCACCACTAAGAGGTACAGGTCAACGATAACCAATTTTTTGTGGCCTAAATTGGAAGGTATGGATCTCAATATGTGGTTCCAACAAGATGGCACCACCTGCCACACAGCACATGCAA